TGGAGTAGAATAATCTATTTCAATATCACTCCTGCTTTGATGCTGTTATTATATGCATAACACTGAAGTGATTAGAGAATTAGAGATTCAGTAAGAGAAAAAGTTGTATTAGTGCAATATTTAAGCTTTTATACTAATTACTGATGTATATGCCAGTCATCAGACACCCTGAAGTTGCTAATTTTTTTTTTTCAGAAAACCAATTCACACATGCACTATAAGACATTAGGAAAATAGTACATTATTTTTAGTCAAATTAAATGTCATAAATGCATTTTGCTTAATACCTTACCCCTCAAAATGAAAATATTAAGTCAGTTTTGTATTCCAAATGCAAACCTCAGATCATCTAGAAGAGGGGATAGCCTTCTAAATTGTTCAGACATATTGTGATGCAACCCTTCTGTGACAGGTAGCATGTTAGTTTTTCTTCCCTATCCTCTCTCATCTTCTCAACACTTCATCTTCCACAGGTGAGAACACAGAAGATAAAGTAACTTACCAATGTCAAAAGCTTATCAATGGCTGGACCCAGACTGACTGGCTTTGTCCTTGCATCCTGCTGCCAAAAATAGGGTTTCCCATGGAGATTTAGATTTTGTGACTGTTTTAAAGGCTGAAGTTAGTATGATATACATATATATGTCTGTCAAGATTACTATTTAAGAATGAAGTTGATATGAGAAGTCATTTTCATCTACCAGATGAACAATGACTGTAGAATTTGGCAAAGCCTAGTGGGTGAAGAACATCTCTCATTCAATATTGATGATACAATGAACTGAAATACAAAATTTGAAGATAATTTATCAATATCTTACTACATTAAGATGGATGTACCCTCCACATCAGCAGTTCCAATTCATCATGTGATATGTACCACAATATCGAAGTTTATGGTGTTAACTGCAGGCTTTCGAGGCAGACAAACATCTCCAGGAAATGATATTTTTCATCAAGAAGAATTTTCTTTAAAAGTTGTAATATAGTGATACAGTGGAATATGTTGTGATCACAATAAGATGTACTGAAATGGAAACTCAAAATGCCCTCTTATGTTGAAACAGATGAGATAAAACTGCAGACAGCATAGCTCAAAATGGGGTAAATCTATACACACACATTTGTGCCTATATTCCTAAAAAGCATCTTGGGTTATGCATAGGAAACTAACCAGGAATTGCCACTGGTAGAGGGAAGAAAGAAACATTTGGTTTCTAATTGGTATTAGTTCTTAACAAGCAATAATTACTTTATAAAGATGGAAAATATTTCAGACTTTCATAATGAAAGAGATTTAAGGATTTCCATTTTTAAAAGTTTAATAATGTATGATACTTTGGATCATTTTTTATTGCTTTTGCAATTCTATCTTATTTTAAAGGCCATCATATAGTCACCCATATAGTGTGTCCTTATCAAGCCATTACTAGATCCTTTCTTTTCAATAACTAACTTATGAAGACCTAACTTTGGCAATAGACTCTTAACAGAAGTGAAGAGCAGAAGAAACAGTGCTAGGATCTTATAGTCATGAAAAGTGCCCATGGCCATTCTTACATTCAAAACCTTGTGCTAAGTCCCCATTGGCTTTCCTTTATTCAACAAATAGTCAATGGAATCCTCTGAAGTTCACCACACTGTAGATACAGTTGTAACAAGACAGATCATAAGCCTGCCCTCATGGTGTCTACATTATAGGACAATAGTGGGGAATAAAAACAAATACACCTTACTGTTATGTGTGAATTGGGGAAAGTTTGGAATGTCTTCACTGGGAACCCCCAGGTCCTCAGTATGGACCACAAAGGTCATATCCTTTCCTCTTCTGCTCTGTGCCACTCTAACTAGCACACTCAGTTCCTCCTCCTCCTCCTGATCAAGTGAATGCTTAAATGAAATTAACCAGTTCATGTACACAAATAGAACTTGATAATCAGAAAAGAAAATCAAGTTACTTTATGAATGTGATTTATGATGGTATGTTGTGTTCAAAACTAGGATTATTTTTTAAAATTTACCTTTCTATAAAACATAATCATAACACTTTGCCAACATTAAATAGCTAATAATAGTTGTCTAAGTGAGCAAACTAGCACACTTGGGAAATTCCCACTTAAGAAATAGAAGTTTTCATCTTAATATTTGCTTGATCAATTTTTAAACAATGACAGTGATTTAAAACAATGTGCAGTAATTTTATTTAAACTTTGGTTTCTTTGACCAAAACTAAATCTCCAAGTATGATAGCCTTGCTTGCAATCAGTCTTTGATAGAAAATATATCTTGCCTTTGAAACTCAAAATAGAATCTTGATTATTAATATAAAATTGTCTTTGTCAAGTGATATGCCATTTTGCATTTTTAAGTTACCACAAGCCTATAACAAATATTTCAAATGCTGTGAATAGAGAGAGCTAAGGGCACCCACTGATATCTTTCATAAGAAAGTATGGAGACCCTGTGGCAGATGATGTAATATGTGAGTGAGTGTTGTCAGGAAGAGAAGGCTTTTTCTGGGTGAGAGGTAAAATGCCAGGTTGGGTTCTACAGCAGCAGTTAAACAAATATTTTCACCAGTGCACACATGAACCTTTTCTATGCTTTCCATATCACTTGTCTCCTTACAATTTGAGTTGGCAAAACAGGTGCATTTAAAATGTTCAGAAAAATACTCCAGGTCTCCAACCTTGGGATTTCCAATTAATTCAAACTTTCCATTCTCCAAAGGCCGAATCTCTATATAACTTGGGTTCAAGTGAAGATAGACATCTGAATTCACATTTTTTCTTGTACAAGTGCCTTTGTTCTGGCAAAGTGCTTGGTTGCACATTTTGGCTGCTAGGGTGGTGTTGATTATGTAAGGATTCAGGGTAGTCCTCATGTATTTATGTAGACTTGGACAACCTGTCTATAAAATAATAAGATAGTCAGAATATCAAAGTATAAATTCCTAAGTGAATTAATGTACTATAATAAGCAATTCTTAAGAAAGAACAGAAGAGCAACAGATGAAATGCTATGAGATACACCTTTTTACTTTAACAAGCAAGATTAATCCAACTGCTTTTGTAACATTTGTAAGTTTTGCATGCCATTTAATGCCACTTAAAATTGTATAATTGAGGCTGAATTTATCCTAACATTCATCTTCCCCAATAATTCATAAATTAATCAATGTGATGGAATGTTACAGATATTAGACTACAGGCTTTGAGGTTCTTGTGCCCTGACTGGAGTCCCAGCTTCCTTAATGAACACCTCTGAACCTAGGATACTTAAAGTTTTCTAAATCTTACATTCACTTTGTGGAGACCTTAGGCAAATTAGTTCAGTTTTGTCACTTGTAAAATATGAATGACTTTAGAGCCTGGATCATAGGGTTGTTGTGATGATGAATGATATATATATATATATATATATAATATGCTTAATATGGAGCCTCCCATTTATTCTTAACCCTCAATAGATCATAAATAATTGTGACAAGGATCACATTTGTCAGATGATTTCACCATCATTTAAGAATGATAAAAAATTGATAGCCCAAAATAACTAAGTTCTACTGTGTCTATTCTATATAAATGCTTCATAGTCAAAGTATATGTGCAGATTGATAGTTATTTGACAAACTCTGTAGACCAGAGAGATGAGAATCAGAAATGATCTGCTGCTATTTTTTCTATAACTTGGAAAATGATATTTAAAACACTTTGAAGACAGTCATGGTCTCTAGTCAATAGTTATGAGAGAACTGGCTGGGATGCCTTTAGGCAGAACAAATTAAGTAGTGATGACATTTCAACATGAAAGACAAGGAGTCCTGGAAGTTCACTTTGAATCTATTTGTGGTGATACTTTCATTGGAATAATGATGACCTCCCAAAGATGTCTGCACTCCAGTTCCCAGAACACATGACTATGTGAACTTACAGTAGAGGAGCTGCAGACCTGATTTGGAATATGACAGTTGAAAGGGGGAATTTTTGTAAATTATCTTAGAGGACTCAATCTAATTATACTAGTCCTCGTAAGTACAGAAACTTTTCCAACTGGATTAGTAAGATGACATCGGGAAAAAGAAGTAAGATTCAAAGTGCAAGAGAGAATTGTACCTGTGCAAAGGAGTGACACTCCTGCAATCTCAGTGAAGTCAGGAGGACCAGGAGCTCAAGGGTATCCTCAGCTACATAGTGAGTTGAAGGACAGATAGCATGTGCTATATGAGACCCTGCCTTGAAAAGCAAATAACTAAGCCACTACTACTAACTTTCTTGACAAAAGATATACCAGGAACCTAAGAACTTAGAAACCTCTAGAAGATGAAAATTGCCTTTAGCCGAAAATCAGTCAGATGGAAACCTCATTACTATAACAGCATGGATCTAATAAGCCAACAACCCAAATAACCAACAAATAGTCTGTCCTAGAAAGAAATGGTGTTGTCTGACAGCTTATTGTGAGCAACTTGAGATGTGTGTTAGATTTGGGATACAAAGTATAAGATGATAGTTTCTTTTACTTAAGCTACTGAATCTAATAACACTGTATCAAATAAAATGGAATGGAAGAAATCTTTTACTTGACATGCTAAATTTTAGGTCAGTTTGACTCCTTCAAACGACAATGGTAGTTGGAGGTAGAGTGTGGAGATGTTTTGTTGTAACATCATGGAAGTAATATAAAGCTAATGTACTGGGTATCTTACGTTTGTGGGGAATGCTCTTCCCTTGAATTTTTAACAAGTCTGACTCTTTCTTGCCATTCAGTATCTTAATTGGGTAGTAACCTTCCAAGATATTTTCTTTGTAGCCTCAAATCTCTATATTAATTGCCTAAAAGGCACATTAAATATTTTATTGTTTCTGTAGTTTCTTACTAAGCACTCTTAGTTTCTAAGCATATATGGACTGTCAATATTCTTCAATGTGATGGTCTTAGTATAAAGAGACATGAAAATTTCTACCAAGTTCAAGTAACATTTCACTTTCTTGCATAGAAAAGGATTAGGCAAAGGCATACTACAGGAATGAGGATGATTTAGGAAACACTGTATATGTAGTCCATGAAAATATTTAAACTAGCAACTTTGTTAGCAATTTAACAGCTCTAACTGTAGAGTTTGAAACTAAGTGTAGCACCATTACATAGAGTATGGGAGAGTTATGTGGGCAGAAGAATTCCACCTGTACAGATACAGTAAGAATGATGAGCCTCAGGCACAGGAGGTGGACATAAGTGAAACAATGGCTATATTTTAAACTTGTTTCATCTTTGTTTTTAACATAATTCATGATATGGTATCTTTTGTTCATTTAATTTTTTATGATGGCTGCACTTAATAAATTTCCTGAAAATCAAACAATCAGGTCTCACATGGTATCACTGGTAGAGATGGCATCACACACTACGGAATGTAATAAAATAAAGTAGAAGGAAATTACTTACTTGACTATTTCTAATCTCAGTATTAGCAACTGAAATAAAAATGTCAGTGGCTGGCTGGGAAGGGGATTAGGGAGAGAGCTCAGTTTGTAGAGTGCATGCTATACAATCCCAAGAACATGGATTTGATCCTCATAACCCACTTCAAAAATACCAGCAAAGTATCATACATTTGGAAACCTATAGTTGGGGAGGCAGAGCTGAGAGAATCCCTGGGGCTGGTTATCAGGAAGACTAGTAGAACTTGTGAGCTTTGGGTTCTATGAGAGACCCTCTCTCATTAGATAAGGTGGAGAATAACTGAGGAAAACTCAATCTTGCCTCTGTGCACAATAGAAAACACACGTACACACACACTAATTGAAACATACACATATATACACAAAAATTCCTGAAATTATCATTTCCTCAAATCCCCAGTGAATCATGGGAATCATGACAAGAGATCCAGGAGTATACAGATTACAAATAACACAGAGGAAAGGAGGAAAAATTATAATTTTTTTATCTTTTTGAGACAGGGTCTTTCTGTAGCCCCAGCTGTCTTGGAGCTATGTAGACCAGGCTGGCCTTGAACTCACAGAGATCTGCTTGCTTCTTCCACCCAAGTGCTGAGATTAAAGGTGTGCACCACCACACCTGGCCCCCAGAGTAATTATAATATTAAAAACTATTATGAATTGGGGAAAGGAGCAGAAATGTATAGAAATGGTCTATAAGGAAAATATCAAGACGGAGAGTACCTAAAATAAAAAGTAATGCTAAAATTGATGGGCGATCCCTGAATGAATCATCATGAGGATGATGAAGGAGATAAAACAATATTCATCTCAGATCAAAGTGACATTAAAAAACAAATATGATAGTTAAACAGTATGTCACAACATACTACTTATTGTGGAATGCCAGATTCATTCTGCCTCAGAGGAAGAGTGCAATTCTCATTTCTTTTTATTTATTTTATTTTTTATTTATTTATTTTTGATCTTTTTGAGACAGGGTCTTCCTGTAGACCAGGCTGGCCTTGAACTCACAGAGATCTGCCTGCCTCTGCCTCCAGAGTGCTGGGATTAAAGGCGTGCATCATCACTCCTGGCTTTCTCACTTCTTTTTATAAGGAAGTAGTATGCAGAGTTTATAAATGGCTCCATCATAGAATTAATAATATCCTTGAGAAAGGTATTTATAGCTTTGGAAGAACTAGCAAAAATTGGGAATATACTTAGGAAGATTATGATTTTAAGATTATCCTCTGAAATTCAAAAGATTTTAGAGACTTATACCTTTTTCTGAATTTATAGTTCCTGTTACTTCCTTTCTCTTGAGAATGTAGCTAAAGACAATATAACTACACAAAATAGGCAGAAAGGCTCAGGGTGCTTTGAAAGAATTTAACAGAGGCAGCTGCTTTAAATACTTTTAAATATCGTAAGGATGTTGCTACTCTCTCTAAAAAACAAGAATCAAATATAGCACTTTTCAAGTGCCTCTCCTGGTCTTAGGGTATAAGGTCTGTTCTCTACAGGTTGTAGGACAGGACTCCTGGGCTTTATATGACAGTCTCCATGACACATTCATCACTTGTATTGCCAAGTCTGCCGCAGAAGGAAAAACTGACTCCAGGTTAGTAATATTTATGTTCATATTGCATATACATATAAATACATGTATACACATATCTATATATAAACAAACATATGCTTATATTCTTATATATCTATAGACATGTATATTCTTTCTCTCTTTGATTCAAGAGGATTAATGAAATGGTTGATAAATACTTGATATGGGGAATTGAGTCATAAAAAGAAAATCTGTGGTCTGACACTATACACCACATCAGAAAACTGAAACTGTAGTCTTGGTGTTGCTACTTACCAAACCATGGAGCCTAGAGAATTCAATTAATCTCACTAATTATCTAACTCCTCACTGGAAAGCAGGTACAACAATTCCTACTTTGCAACAAAAAAAAAGCAAGATATTTTGATTCAGCAAATATAGTTTCTACTACCATTCTCCAAGCATAGGTCTTATTTCCTTTTAAAATATTTTATTATTTCTTAATTATTTTATGTGTATGAGTGTATTGCCTGCACGTATGTAAGGGCTTCCATGTTGTATAATGCTCATGGAGGTCAGGAGAGGGCATATCCCCTGGAACTGGAGTTACAGACAGTTGTTAGTGGCCATGTGAGTCCTGGGAAACAAACCTGGTTTTTGTGCAAGAGCAGCCAGTGCTCTTAAGCCCATCTCTCCAGCCCCAGTTCTTATTTTCTTAATAGCAAAATAATTCTCAAAAGCATTAAGGATAGAAGTATTTCCTACTCCTTCAACTTACCGCACGTTGTGCTAAAGAAATTGCATCCCATATTACAAGTCCTGAGGTACCCAGAGCAACAGCTTCACCAACTGTACTCACAAGGTCATCCTGGAAAATGTGATAGAGTTACCAAACAGGAATAAATTACGGGCCTTCACACTGTACAGTAAAAGCAAGTTAAGCATGCTGATCCAACAATAACAATCTATGTACTTCCACACTCTAAAGTATTTACGCAGGCATTTCTTTGCTATTTAAAAGGAGACTATTGTTGTTTTAATGACTTCTGATGGCAGGAGACCAGATCCATGCAAAAAAATCTGTTAAAATATTATTTATATTTTATATCTTTCTGTGACTACTAAAAACCATCTAGTTACATTAAAGATGAAAATTTACAGAAGTTTGTCTCCTTTAGAGAGCAAAGAGTTACTTGTGTGTATATTCCTAAATGGTATATAAAGCTGAATTAGAGTCCTTAGAAAACATTAAATTCCAGGCAAGACGATTTTTGAAAACTAGCTCATAGCAAATATATTTTACTTACCTTAGAAAGGAATTCCCATGTCTTGTCAGTAAAAACAATTCGAGTATAGACAAAAACTGGAACTGGATTCTTGGCCTCCCGCACTTTGGAAACCCTAATGGCTTCCAGTATACGGTGGCGAGCATAGAGCTTAGTTTGTGGCACTAACTTCAATTCACTCCTCAAATAGATAGATGGGTAAAGGCTTGTGCTTTCCTTCCATAACCAGTTGAGATCATCATTTCTTTTCTTTTCCACATCAGGGCACAGTCCATTGTATTTGGGTTCAGTATATTTATTGTTATAACAGTCAGGAAAAAGATAAAAACCCCAAAAGAATTTTGATCGAATTGATTTTCCCAATTTTAATGTCTCTAACATTAAATTCTTTCCTGCCTCTTCAAATGCTTCTTTGGCTTTTGTGGTAGCGTTTGTGTTACTAATTCCTTTATTTTGTTTCTTGACCAAGTCAATAGATTTAGTCTTGTAAATATCCATAGGTTTCCAGTTTCTTGACCAGGTGGGTCTCCATTCTTCCCAGTCAATGATAGCCAAGCCCAATTTGTCTACTGGCATGTAATGCTCAATATCAGTCCTAGATTTTTTCAAATGGTCTTGTAAAGACACGGCCTGGGGGATTCCACCATTAATTTCTACATTTTTCCGATTTATGTAGGGATAGAGGCCAAGTCGATCAATATAAAACATTGTGACAGACTGCCCTATTACAGTTTTTCGGGGGCTTCCTACTAAAGTGAACAGACTCAGATCTAATGAGTTTTTAAAGTTTCCAATACAACTGTCAGCTGGGACATTCCAGGCCCAAAGGAAAGTTACATTTGGAATAATAGGGGCTGCTCTAAACTCCACAGTCAAGCAACAAGGAATCAGAAAGAAGACTAACACAGTCAGGAATGCTCCCTTAGACTCAGCAAAGCTCCCCCAAAACAGGTGCTTAAAACGCAACCCTCCCATCTCAGAGTAGCTAATATGAACACATTTCTTCTTTTACACTATGGTCTGTTCAATATTTGATGCAAAAGATGGGAAAGGTGGTGAATAAAAATGTATAAATATGGTTTACACTGGTGTTTTTCTTTTTGCTTCAGGTTTCAGGAACAAGTTGCATCTTCTACAACTGAAAAACAAAACAAAACAGAATTTACTGTAGCTGGGATGGAAGCTTCACCAAGTTCTCAAAATCATGCAGAAGAGTTTAATTCAATCACAGAAGATAGAAGACCTACAACTGTGTTTAAGTTAATAAGATTTCTTCTCTTACGTATGATGAACAGCTAGTTTGAATATTAATAATTCCTATGATATAATTTAAGAATAATCTCTCTGATCTCACAAAATATAATAATAATTTCTGTGATTCCACAGAAAACAGAATGTATTTTTCCTTTCTTTCTTCCAAGGTATGTAAGATGGTATATCTAGCAATACCTTAGCAAAACCAGTTGAAGGAAAATAAATTCTTCTTTATTGGTTTTTGACAGACCACTCTGTCATATCTGTCAAATTTTGAAAACAACCTCTCATAGATTTGAAAGTTTTCTCATCTTCATAATTATTTTCTGTATGTGAATATGGGGGAGGTGTTGAGAATTGAACACTAGGCCTTGCACATGTTAGGGAAACACTCCACCAGTGAGCTACATCCCTATCCGTTTCTTTACTTGCTTATGTTTTGGGGGCATAGGGTCTTCTTAAATTACACTGTCTGGCCTAGAACTCAAGATCTTTCTTCCTCAGCTCCGAAGTATTTAGGAATATGTGTTTGTACCACCATTTTAGCTCCTAATTCTTTTTCTTTCTTTCAACTTTATTTTTTATAGCTGACAAGAAGGGAGAGGATAAGTCAGTTTTGCTACTGGCAACAAATTAAAATGAGTTTAAGCATTCCTTAGAATACTGCCAGATTAAATTATTTTTCTTTAATTTGATGTATTATTTCATTTATTTTTAAATGGGATAAGAAATAGTTTATTCTATATTCAAATATGAGTGACCATGGCCCTGGAACACAGATTCAGGATATTCCAAATCCCGTGTTCCAGAGTGGGCAGAAGCATTTTTTAAAAATAATTTATTGAGAATTTCATACATGAATATAAGGTGTTTTGATCAAATCCATGCCCACTCCCTCCCCTCCAACTCCTCACATATCTCCCCATCACTTTTTTTCTGATAACTTCATGTACTCTTTCTTCTTCTTTGATTTTTTTTTTATAGAGCTTTTGGCTACTCTAACATTCCCCCTTCTGAAGAGGTAACCAGATTATATTCATACAGAAATGTCCTCTCAGGTTTAAAATGAACAAACTATATCTTTACAAAAATAACTTATTCTAGCCTAGTTTAATACAATAAATGAATTCTGATATTTAAATAGTATTTCAAAACAAAAACATTTTGACATTCTAAGTGAAGCATTATAGCCACTTTTGTAGTATGATGAAATGGTCTAAGGTGAGAGGGAGAGATTAGATTCAACCACAATAAACCAGGCTTGTGTTTTTATTCCAGTTTTACTTATTCTGTGTTGGGGAGGTGGAGACATGGCCTGTCACTGTGGAAGAGTAAAACTTTCCTTGAGTGAGTTCTCTCATATACCATGTGGGTGCTGAGAATTGATCTCAGGTCATCAAGCTTGGCCACAAATGCCTTTATCAGATGAGACATGTTTAAATGCATTGCTTTTAGAAGGAAAATAGGGCTTTTTCTTTTGACGAGAGTATTAGTATAAGTCTATGTGAAGGTACCCTGAGAATTACATAGCATTCCTTCTGGTAATGTTACCCTTATGATAGCAAATTATTTATTTATTCCAATTGCTGAAAAATATTATAAAAAGAATGCCATAATCAAAATAAGCATAGTGAAATTTTCCCTCATGTTTAAAACAGGTAAGATTCCTAAAAATTTCATCATTTAAACTCTTACAGATCTGTTATTTAGGACCTTGAGAATCTTCATGTAAAGTAATAAGGGAAAAATAATTCCTGTCAAATATCAAGTGCTCACATCAAAGGCTGAATGGCAGTGGTAAGGGAAGGAAATTGGATAGGGTCTTAGCTTTCCCCATATTTTACGGGGGATAGGCTCAGCTTACTGAAATGGACGTTCAACTCTACATTTTGTATAATCATCTAAAATAAGATAAACAACACTCTAGAGCACAATGGGTTCATAATAAGGTCTCTCCTTTTAGAAATCTTCAAAACAAATGAACACGTCCACCTTTGAAAATTGACAGGATGAAATGTCTCTATTGTGTAAATCTGAGGACAAATTCTTGGGGTACTGACTTGGAAGAGGGGATAATATTTACAGTGGTATCTTCCCACTATTTAAAATATTTACTTGATGGGACTGGAGAGATGATTCAGTGGTTAAGAGCACTGATTGCTCTTGAAGAGAGCCCCAAATCATTTCTCAACAGTTAACAGCCATTCTAGATCCACAGGAATCCGACACCCTTTTCTGACCTCTGTGGGCATTGCACAACACAGGTTCACTTACATACAGTCGATAACTCAAATAAAATACAAAAATAAAATACTTGCTAGACAATCTCATCTCCTTGGAAAATCTAAACTAATTTAACCACATGCAACAAGTGACCTTTTCTCTCCATGACTATTGGTTGAGCATCTCTGCCTGAAAAAAAAATCAAAATTCAAAATACTCCAAATTCCAGGGACTGGTGAGATGATTTTAGCAGTTAAGAGCACTGACTGCTCTTGTACAGGACCTGGGTTCACATCCCAGAACATACATGGCAGCTGTCAATCATCCATTGCTCCAGTTCCAGGAGAAATTTAACATTCTCTTCAGGTCATAGTAAGCATTGCACCACATGGGTATGCTTATATACATGCAAGCAAAACATTCACATACATAATAAAAATAAACCAAAAAATTACAGAAACCAAAAATTTTAAATACTCAAAAATTTAAAACTTTTTGAGCACCAACATGAAACCAAAAGTAGAAAATTCCACGCCAGGAAACTTTGTGCCATGAATAAAATTATTTTAAATATTGTATAAAATTGTCTTAAGGCCAGCTGTACAGGAAACAATGGAGTCCCATGTTTCTTTGGTATTATTCCTAAGATATCTACCTGTTTGTATTTGGATGCTTCAAACCTTTTTAAGAAGCTGAATTCTGGAACACTTCTGGTCCCATGAGTTTCATATAAGGAGCACAGCACCTGATTCCTAAACTGTATACTCAGTTATGCCAACTGTTGTCCTAATAACCCTAAACTCCCAGGAACAGAATCTACCCAGAAGCTTCTTCTCTAAGTGCAGCCACTCCCCCTCTCCTCAGGAGCTTCATGACAAGGGGCTGGTCTTAATGTCCTCTCAGAGTACTGGCAGGTTGATTCCATCCTTAAAAAATTTATTTTCAAAATAAATTTAGAAAATTATGAACCAAAAATATTTAAGTTCCTACATCTATTAAACTCTTATTTCTGTGTTCTAAAAGGATTATATCATTGTGGGGCTGGAGAGATGACTCAGCGGATAAGAGCACTGAATGCTCTTGCAGAAAACCCAGGTACAATTCCAAGAACCGACACGGCAACTAACAGAAGTCTGTAACTCCAGTTCTAGGAGAATCCAACACCCTCTACCTACATACATGCAGGCAATACACTCACACATATAAAATAAAATTAGAAATACATTTTTGAAAAAGAAATGTTATCATTGGAATATATGTTACTAATCCTATGCATCAGAAATCCCTTGTCTGAGGAATTCCAAAATTATTTTCCAATAAAAATTATGTTCCTGTGGGTACATATACTAGGTGCTGAAAATCATAAAATGAGAAAATATAGCAATTTTAATACACAATGATGCTTAAATACCATATTTTATCCTGATAGTATTTATATTTTTATCATAACATGTTATAAGGCTGATGAAGCAACAGGTAAAGATACTTTCTAATACACTTGTCAAATAAAGTAAAACACATACCATATAAGTCAAGTATAAAAGCGTATAAGTACATGCTTTAAAAAAGTAAAGAAAATTCAGAACTGTAAGTGAAACTCAAAATTTTTAAGCAGCCTATAAAATACATTTTTGAGTTGATTTTTTTTATCATACTGTCATACATTGACTCAAATAAGAAATGGAAGCAAAATAAACTTTAATGCTAAAAATTAGTTTGTGAGCACAGATTTGAGGCCATTGTTTCCCTGAGCTGAGGAAAAGAAATGAGTACAAACTCCCCAATCTGTTCATCAGGATGCTTGTCAGGGGGTTTTGTATTATTGTGTGGAAGAGGAGCTGCTGATTGCTGTTTGCTTCATAATTTTATCTTGAACATTTTAAAATACAAAATGTTGTTAAGAGAAGGTACAGGTTGTTGAGATGAGAATCAGTATAAATATTGGTATTTTGTTTTTTTGTTTTGTTTTGTTTTTAAATTGGAACTGGGAGAGAAAAGGCCAAAGCAAAGAAACCAAATGTCTTGCTCTAGTTTTTGCTCTCCTTTTTACAATAAGTCCTTCTCTTCCATAATGAATGTTTCCTGTAGCAAAGCATAATTAAAAATATAGCAGATATGGACATGATAAAGAGAGAGAAATCACCACACCCACACCGCTGTCCCCAGAGTCTCTGCGGTATTGTTCATCCATGTAACTATCATCTGAGTAGAACTGGGAATTACATGAAGACACAAAGTTTTACCATTAAAATTATTATACATTTTTAGATAAATTATAAAGGAAGAAATTTCAGAAATATTAGCAAATAAATAGACTCCAGGTGATGTCTTTGGTGACAACAGAGCATAGGTGTTAGTAGGGGCAAAGAGTACAAAGGTTTAAGACATTCACAGGCCACTTCCTCATTCTCCATTGCTGTGCAGCTCCAAGCCTGGCCGTGTAAAGGCACAATCACAGTTCTGAACAAACAGCCCCAGCCTTAGGGAGCCTCAGGAAA